CAAGATAAGTTTGGTGATAATTAATGCAGCTAGTGAATTAATTACATAAAAACCTATTAGTTGGGGGGCGCAATAAGTTATTATTATTCGATAAGTGTAATTCAACGTGTTTTTTTCCATCAACGACTTTTGTCATTAAATTTCTTCCACACCCCTCTTGGTCGTCGACTGCGAGTGACGTCACTCCCCATACAATCACGCCCCACAGTATAGACCCACCCCTGACCCTTGTAAGACATGGGAAATGCAATTGCAAATGGACTTTGCTTTTTCATTTGAAATGTGACAGTCAGTGTTCGTTCGCGAAAGCGAAAAAGCAAAAGTTAATGCAAAATTTGCAATTGCATTTGAATTATGTCACACTTTATGCGTCCACATATGGAAAATGCAATTGCAAATGCAATTTGCAATTCCTTTTGAAAAATGTCCGGGATTTCCCTCCATAGAGGATGATGGACCGCATCATGAAGCCCTAAGTAGGACAGTGGTTAACAGAAAATATGTTTGGCCCCTAATGCCCCTCCCCACCTTTCTCCCCCACTGGCCCTTTTCTTTTTCCCTCCCCAATAGTTTCCCCATTTTTTTTTGCCATTAAATTCCCTGTTGTATAATCTGCTTCCCCCATGTTTCATTCTATCATGATTTATTATTATTGGGTTTTATTCTTTTCTTTTTATATCTCTATTTCTTACTTTGTGGCGAAGTGTACCATATGGCACAATGACCACTGGGTACACAACATCCTTTACCAAGAAATACACACTAACTGCATATGCTATTAGAAGGGTAGGCAATCTTATCTAGAAAGGGTTGGTGTGTTTGCAGTTTTTGTTCAAATCCAGGTGTGCGAACTCTTCAGTCGATCAGTCCTCTGCGTACTACTTTAAGTAAGGAGTTGCAGCGAAAAGCTGCATGCCTAACGGCCCTTTCTGCATAAAATTAACATGAAACACTAATATGTAGGCCCTATGAGTAACTTGGGGGAGTGAGCCATTGGCCCTCACCACTCACTCCCTTGAGTTTCCTGCCAAGTAGGGGCAGTTTTTCTTCAAGTATTGATTAAATCTGCATTCCCAGCATGCCTCAGAACGCTCCTTCGGAGCCTGACTAGGTGCCCTAGGAGCTCTGACAGCAGGAGTGTTACTAGCTTGAGAAGCTGAAAGTTTATCAACAGTAACTTTGAGTGTTTTCACCTCTTGGCGTAGGCTTTCCACTGTCTGTAATAAAATAGTCATCTGAGGATCTGGGGACCTACTCGATACCCCACCTATTTTAGCATCAGTTGCTGTTTGACTTTGTTCCAAATCTCGTATAAGCTCTAACTGCAAAGCCAAATTTATGGCAGCTTCTAGGGTAGTTGGTTTAGCACTACGAAGCTGTATGCACAGTTCCCCCACCCCAACATGAGCTACAAAACACTCCCATGCCAGCAGATCTTGTGTGGTGCTATTAGCAGATGGATATGCTTTTGAGATTAATCGCCTCAGGACATTACCAAATTCTCACGCCGATTCTGTGCGTAACGTCCTCCTAGAGGAGAAGCTAGCTCGATTCCAATCTTCACTTTCACAGGGATCAAAGCATTAATTTAGGGCTGCTCTTAGATTCAAATAGTTGCTCATATCCTCTGCAGTCAATCCACAATAAACATCCCTAGCTCTCCCAGATAACAAGAGAGACAAATTTTAGCGTAAGATCGTCATTCCAGTTATTAACGTCCGCTGCCAATGCAAACTGTTGAGACCAGTCTGACCAAACACGGCCCTGACCAGTAAATGTTTCGGGCATAAACACGGGATGAGTAACTGTTGTAACTGCTACTGGCAATGCCATTATTAGTGCCCCCTTCAGCTGGTGCCTGAGCACCCACTACCTGATTAGAACTAGCATTTCCAGGGTGTTCCATTATGAATATAGTTAATTTAGATCAAGTTTACAAAATCCCACTGCTGCCCCCAGTGTAATAGATTTTCCCTTGCCACTAGAGGGCGATACTGAAACCGCGGTGAACAACCGATTTACCACGTAGTTTTGCAGATTGCCGTCTTTTGAGCAACATCGGTCTTTTCAAAACCAAACCACTGTCACGCGAGAGCGAATGATCTATGGCTAGCCCTTTTAACATTTAATCAATTCACACTCCTATCTGTAGTTACATTTTAGATATACACAATATCATTTCTCCTAGTCAAAATAATATTCTTACTAGTCAGAATGGCAATTACAGATATCCACAATTACATTCTTACTAGTAGAAAATGTATTTCAAGATATCTAAAACTATTTCTCCTAGTCACAATTCTATTTAAGATATCTTTAAATCTTTACAAAGTATAAGTGGCCATTTTGACATTTAATCACTAGACTAGATATGTATTGCAGATATCCGTAATTCAGTTCTTCCTAGTCAAAAAGAGCATTTCAGATATCCACAATGACATTCTTCCTATCCACAATTGTCATTTCAGATATCCACAATTCATATTGTGACTAGTAAAAAACCATGGTCATGGTTTGGTTTGGAAGGCAGATATTACATTACAGGTAGGCGTGTTCTCAAAGAGCTTTGGCGCATTTTAGCCCTGTTACTTGTTACTGCAAGCATCATGTCTGGGTCAGTGCCGTCTGACTCTGTCCTTCATGTGGTGGATCGGTGCCATTGGCTTTGGATGAGCTGAGCTGTCAGTGCTGTCACTTTAGCTTCACACTCCCTTGTGGAATTGGAGTACTGACATTCAGGGACTCCCCATGTCTGCATTCCGACCTGCCTCTCCCTCCTACTTATGCTCCCATAGCCATATATGCCAGAGCTTACATATTGCACTCACCTAACTAGGAATCGACTGATTATTGGCCTGGCTGATAATCGGTGGCCGATATTAGGATTTTGCCGATTATTGATATCTGTGTTTTATTTGATAACCGATATTACTACAAAGTGTGCTAATGCGGCTTTGCTACCGTCTCCCCCTCTGTGCCTGAGGAACCACGCTGCTTCATTTAAAGTCCTGCCCATAACAATCTCTGATTGGCTAGATGACATACGATTAATAGTTAATCACCACTACACCACCATTGTCACTCATACACGTCACTCAAGCACAGTGTGAATAGTGTCGCCAACTTAGCGACTTTTGTCACTATATTTAACGAGTTTTTAGACCCCTCTAGTGACTCGATTTCAAAATAGTGACTAGCGACAAATCTAACGACTTTTTCTAGTATTATTGGAGACTTTTGGAGACTGACGTGGAAGCACGTATCGTTCCTACTCCTCTCACTGAGCAGCGGGTTCTGCCGTAGGCTCCTCTCCCGTCCCAAAGCATTCACAGGCGGACAGTCATCGCGCAGCAGCCCCGCCCAGCTGCAGTCAGAGCAGGAGATGTTCACCCCTCCACGTCGGGACTGCAAATGAATTGCGAATGCGCAAAGCCGCCGCTGACTGATCCTGCCCTGGTTTAGTAAAAAATAAGTAACTCCGCCAGAGTGTCTCTTTGGGGTCACTTTTGCCGGTCCCAAGCCCGGATAAAGGAGGAGGGTTGGAATTGTGATATTAAAAAATAAAAAAAAAACAAGAATCAACAGAAGCTCATTTGTAGTTCTAAACGTATTTAGGCTGTTTTTTAACTACCTTTTGTCTCTCCCACGACATTATTCCTCTCTCCTACAGCGTCCATTATAATTACATGCACATTATGCAAATGAGGCGATGGCGTCATTTAGCAACATTTCGGAGAACCAACAGCTACTTTCCTTGCTGAGGAGTTGGCAACAGTGTGCCGCTGGACTCCAAGAGGGTCTAGCTGCAGACGCCTGTAGAGTGGAGCTCCACCCGAAATACGTCACCTCCACAGGAAACACGTGATCTTTAAGGACGTAAAGTGGAGCTCCGGTTAGGGTTAGGGTTAAGGTTAGGGTTTATTCGCTGTGACACAGAGTTGAGGCCATGTGTTTCCTGTGGAGGTGACGTATTTCCGGTGGAGCTCCACTCTACAGGCGTCTGCAGCTGGACCCTTCTCGCTGGACTGGTGGTTGCGCCCGCCGGGACAGTGTACCTCGCTCGCCGACTCTGGAGAAGGGCGGAGCTGTAGGAAGGTGTGCCAACAGCCATCAGCTTAGTATGTGTGAAATACATGGAAGAATAAGAAAATGCTTACGCCCGGAAGTTTAAAATTATCTTCATGTGTTATGATTAAATATGTCTGTATATATGTACATTTTTCATCTCAGGGAACACAACGTACTAACATTCGAGTAGCAGTATTTGTCCAATTCAGTTAAACTTCATTTTATTTAGGTCCCAAAAACTTACACCCAAATCACTTCTGTGGAGACTTAGCAACAGCATCATGAACTGACATCACATCTGATGTCATTAGGCAATACTAAAGCCTAAGTGGTAAGAAAAGCCAGGAGACAGCAGAGTCCTGACATTAAATATTCTGTTTCAGACCAAAAGCACCTGGTGGCATTAGAGGACTCTGAGGCCAGTGCAGACCTGGACCTCACCTTGGATGAGGTACAAGTACTTACACTCTAATTTATTAGCTATTAATGCTTTTCCATGCTGAAGGAAAATAATACATCAAAATATTACTTTTAGCTGGGTTTTGTCTTTGAAGATTGTTAACTCGTTGCTGCAGTGAAAGTAAGATCTGCCAGACAGTCATCTCTCCTCTTCTGCATGGTTCAAAATGTTTAATTTCTTAATTTATTTATGCTGTAATTTTTTTACTATAATTATATATCAGTATTTGATCTACTGATCAGTATCAGATCCAGTCTGCCGAATGTTCGTCAACAACGGGGAGCACGACCTTCCACTGTCATTATGAACGGAGCTTTGACATGCTGGTACAGTATTCCTTTAAATCTCATAATAGACACTGCACTGAGATATGCCTGTCATCTAGTGATATTAAAATTGAATTGTGGCTTTCCCAGTTCTAAGCAGGTTTTTTTGTTTTATTGTGTCTTATTAGGTTATTAATGCTAGAACATTGTACCAGCATTTGTGGCAATGAAGTTGATTTCTGGGTGAAGAATACCAGAGAAACAACTGAGCTGAGTCCAGATGTGAGTGCTGTCTCATCTGTGCTCTTTAAGACTGATGTTAAAACTATTCTGTCCATTCGCTCAGCACCACAATCTTTTTTCTGTTCTGAAGGGCTTGTCCCTGTACACCGTGACACTGCAGTCAGTCACAGGCTTTCAAGGTGAGGGTTCAGTGCTGCTCACACAGGTTTTTTACTAGGCTCAGATTGTTCACTTGTGCTTGGTTCATGTCAGTTTTGGCAGCCTTCAGCATTACAAGTTGGTATCAGAAAGTATAGTACCACTGTTTGTTCTTCCTGTGCATTTACTGAGCTCCTGAGATTAAGTGAAAACTTGGTGTTTGTCGTCTTGTGTCTGCAGCTCAGAAGGTCCTGATGTACTCGTCCTTCTGCATTCTGGACGCTAACCAGCTCACCAGATACAGCGACCATTTGGTAAATAGTCACTTCTTCCATTATGTTATGTGCTCCTCTATTCTGCCATCATGCTGAACAGCTCAAAAAGTAACTTTTAAGGCATTGGTGAATAGCGGTACACTAGAGCATAGGGTTTAGTAGGACGGCCAGCTCCTTCTACTGCAGCATTCATGGGTGTCAATGTTACCTTTTAAGCAGCAAACAGTCTGGCTGGGGAAATATTTCAGCATGATCCTGCGGCTGGATGGATTGCTGTTGACGTATGAATGGAAAGACAGCGAGGATCAAAACCAGCCAACGGAGCCTCACCAGTCTGACCAGGAGGTAAGATACTGATAGTGTCCTGAACATCCACCCATACTGACATTCTGAGTGCCTTGGTTGGCTCAGTCTTTAAGGACGTGCAGGAGGCTGCAGTGACGACATTGGTATCATACAGTGACGCCAGTGGCTTTTGCAGTGAGTCCCTGATGACTGAGTCCTGTTGCAGGCTGCTGATGAGGAAGTGCCACCTGTGGCCAGGGAGATGCCCTACTTATAGTGAGTACCAATGTCTTCTCATACTTTCTGGGGGGGGGGGGGGGTAGGAAACTAATCATAAAATTAGTAAAAAATAAAAAGGATTATTATACGATTTAAAAATATGATTTTTTTCCACATTGCGTTGTTTTGCAGCACATATTTCACCATGAGGGGTTGAAGATTATCCATTCAAACTAGCAGCCCTTCGCCAGGCTTTCTCAGTGAGTACATTAACACCTCAGTTACTGTTAACATTAACGCATCAATCTTTGGTTTGTTGCAGGCTTTTACAATCAGGAAAATCTTCTTAGTCAGCATTTTGCATGATACTGTAATGTTCCAATTACTCAGTGTCAGATTTATAAATTTTGCTTTCTCTCCACAGACCCTCATGAGCCGAGGATTTTACCAGAAAGATCTGATCCCAGCTGGTAAAATGATTCTTGGTGGACTGGCCCAGATCAACAACAAGGTAACTGTCATTAACTACAATGACAATGGTCTTATTCCCTGTCTTGATTTTAACCAATTCATCTGTTCTTTGTTGTGACAAAGGACATCCAGGACTTTGAAAGGGCATTTGACCAGTTCCTGGCCTTCCCTGGCGACCCGGGGAAAAGAGACATCATGCAGAGGGAACTGGCCGAGGCAGGGGTAAGTCAATGTCATCAGCTAATGCCTTGGTCATTGTCTGTAGACCCTGTAAAAAAATTGTAGTAAAATGACTCACTGGATGTTTTTTAGATCTGCCACTTTGGATTTGTGGATGTTGCTTTGCAGTTCATTGTGTTTAGGTTAATGGGGGATTGCAATGTCCTGAAAATGGTAAGTAACTCCAAGTTGCAGAATGACAATGAAATTTTATCAAGATTCAGACTTATTGTTATTTGATAAAATCTCAAAATCTCTTCTCCTTAAGGAGTCCGGTGGATTTGTGGACTATTTTTCCAGAGTTCTGGAGTCTTTCAGCCCACTCACTGGTTGGGAGGGGCAACCCGTGGACTACTAGGAGATAGCCATGGTAAGATCACACTGCCACACCTGACAGCGAAGTTCTGTTTGTACGTACGTCCTCATATTTGGTTGTAAAAATGCTGTGTTGTGTCCTCAGGACCAGATGTTAGCTTTCTTAGATGAAGTCTTCTTGAAGGACAAGAGCATCTTCCAGGACCCACAACACCTAGAGGAGGAAGTGTGGAACACCACTGAAGACCATGAGGACCCCATGTAATATATTTGGATAGTCTGCATTATTTGGTGGTTCTGTATTCTATGTAGATTTTTCTTCATATATCTTAGCATGTTAGTGAATAAAGTAAAATTAAAAAGTAACAGTGTAGTTTGTCAGTTATTTAGCCTTTTCACACTGATACGTGAGGAGTGATGAAGAACAGAAAAGGTACATATCCTGTGCAAATGTGTCACACAAGGTACATCTATAAATCCTTAAAACGTTTACAAACTTTGCTCAGTATGATAAGACCACGTAACTGTTGTCTTTTCACAGCAGACACACTTTTTGATTTTCATAACAACTCATATATTATTGAAGAATCAACAATACAGCTTCTTCAGGGAGCCATATTGTCACATCGCACCATAACGCACATCCTCTTTATAGAATAGCAGACTGAACAAGGCGCGGCGAGGGTGAGTCTGTCTCAATTCTTTCTTGCAAAAATTCAGTTTAAGTGCAACTTGTAATGAAGGAGGAGTGTTGAGGGGATAGTTTGGGATTGGGCTGAAAACTGAATATTGCTCAACCCTAATGATGATAGGACTCACTTAACACCCTGGCCCCATCTCAGTCGCTCCATCATGTGTGATCGTGGTAATATATGCAGCCCATAATGCATTGCAGTTAGGTCAGCATACAAAACTGCAAGACCAAAGGCTTTCCCTTTGATTTAGGAATCCAGAGGAATCCAGTGAGACCAACTGCATGCACACACAGGCTGAAATCACATTTAGAGACTGGAGAGGATTGGCCTCAGAAAATCACTGTTACTGTCTGTCAGTTGTGCTCTCATGTTTTGCCCGAGTTGTCAGTCCAGAGATACTGTCTTCCGCTAACTGAAAAGTTCTTGTTATGGATAAGGGAAGTTGTACTTATGAAGGTACAAACCCACACATTCAGAATGATTAAACTGCTCAATGGGCTCTTTTAAAAGACGCCACTTTCACCCGACTGTAGTCAAACAAAACATATGCTCTTGATAGCGGGATAATGTTTATTGTTGCCATGATTGATGCCATATAGTTGACGGTGCATGGAAGACAATAACACAAAAATGACTCTGAAACTTTCCATGGTGCCAGATTTTCTGTCAAAACAAAATAAAAAATCTGTCCACGGCTCATTTTGCAACAATTTCAGAGCTTTTGGAATGTCTTCCTGCTATTTATGGGAACATCTGAACTCTGCTTTGGGTCATCATGTTCACGGCGGGGAGTTCAGTCATATCTGGGCTGCCGGTGTTCGGTCTGAGCTCCAGTTAGGGCGAATACTGTTTGACATCCTGGCCTGCGAGGTTCTGAATCGCCGGCCCCCGTCATGCCTGGCCGTCAATGTTACCGGTCCCAAGACAGTCGTATGCTGCTCGGGGTTGGGGTGGGGGGGGAGGCTACTGACACGCTCACATATTGACGAATTGGTTTATTTGTGGGAGTCGGTATATTGAGCGTTTTACTGATTTGAGATCTGTATAAACAGTGACTTCACTGGTCACTGGGGAGTGCAGGGCTCTCGCTAATGGGTCTCATGAAGAGAACACTATTTAGATCTGATCACGGCCCTCAGAACAGGGAAAAGGGCGAGGGGCTGCGATCTGTGTGCTGGGTGACGGTCTTCAAAATGAAATTCATGTCAGCAATGACTGCAGAATAACACATCTGAGCCGTATCAGGCTTTTTCTGTACCGAAGCCTTTTTATCAAAATATTCAATGGGCTTGTTTGGTAGAAGAAGTATGACAACAAATCTCTGTGTATCTCACTGTTAGGCCTTAAACGTCTTTGATACTATGAGACATCTTGAAAAACTGAATTTCAACAGCCACCTCAAACTAAATGTTGTTGTGTGATAAAGGCATTGTGTGTTTTTACATTTTCTGCACAACAAAAATAAATCATACTATAAATATGCCTCACTGCCGACCTGCTGTCCCATTTGTGGTACATGATGCATGTGTTTGTAGCTAAAGTCCTTGAGAGCTCATGATTCCCTGAAGCTCTAGACTCGTATCATTACTCTGTATGCTGTGAGGAGAGTGCATCATAAAGACGGAGATGATCTGCAGCCCATGTGAGCACATCCATCTGTGAATTTGCATCTCCATCGTTAGAGCAGATCATGTGCTAAAAACAGAAAAATAAAACCATGTGCTGCAGGCTGTATAGGATGTTGGCTGATTTAACCGCTATGATGTTTGACTGGGAGAGGAACTACTCAGAGAAGCTTCTGGAATAGTGACGTATTGCCCTTTACTGCTAAACAGGCAGTTACTCGATAATCCCACCTTCAGCTGAAAAACATATGGGTGCCTCCACAAAGCAGCACGCGTCATTTAAATGGGCCTCATTCTCACTCAATAGTCTCAGTCACAGTCGCAGAGCGAAATGAGCGATGGACATCGTTAATGCACAGATCAGCCGGCTCTTTGTTGCCACACCATGCCGCACAAGCGTTCCCTCCCAGCACAGACTAAACATGGCATCAGCTTTCCGGGACTTTCCGGCCAGGGGTCAAGCTGCGTGTCTTTAGCATATAACCAATTAAAGGTATGTAATTTCCTTTGATAGTTACAGCGCAGAGCTTGGCCCACACACTTTAATGAATTCACTGCACTAAATGCAGTTGCCGAGAGCCTAGATGCCAATTCATGAAAGTTAGCGCTCCCACCTGAATACCTGCATAATCTTAGCTAGAGAATTGTTCTGGAACTGGAATTCCAAAAAACAGCCCCTTGCCTTGAATTTTCCAAAGGGTGTTTTGCCACATTTATGCATCCGGTACATTTAACTACCGGATACATAACAGCTTTTTCATGTTTGGAAATTAGGGTTCTCTAAGTGCATGCTGGTAACCATTCTGTGTGGGCCTGTGAGATCACCAGCTTCCTCTAGGGGGCGAGGCAGAGCACATTATGAGCTGAGGAGAGGCTGCTTTTCCTCCCTGCACTGCCTGGAGATCGATCAGCCAATCAATGCTGGGCAAGAGAGCAGGGTGGTTGCAAAGCCTTGTGGGGGGGATGACTGGAATGTGTTAAGGCCACAGTCGGTGGAAAGACTATGTTAAGGTCATTGTCTGGGGGGAGTACTGGCATTAAGACCACAGTTGGGAGGAATGGTGATATTAAGAACATAGTCTCTAGGAACAACAATTTAAAAGCCACAGTTGGGGGAATGGTGTTGTTCAGGCCACAGTTGAGGGGGACAATGGCGTTAAGGCCATGGTCACAGGGAACAACTGTGTTAAGGCCACAGCAGGCAGGAATGGCAGTGTTAAGGTAACAAGTTGGGGGAACCGTAGTGTTAAGGACACAGATGGGAGGGGTGGAGGTGTTGAGGACACCGGTGAGGGGAATCACAGTGTTAAGGCCATAGGTGGGGGGAACAACAATGCTAAGGCCACAGTCAAGAGGAATGCCAGCATTAAAGTTAGAGTTGTGGGGAACGGCGGCGTTAAGGCCACAGTCAAGGGGAAGGATGGTGTTAAGTCCACAGTCAGAGGGAACAGCTGTGTTAAGGCCACAGCCAGGAGGAATGGCTGCATTAAGGCTACAGGTGGGGGAACCACAGTGTTAAGGACACAGGATGGGGGGAATGATGGCATTAAGGCCACAGTCAGAGGGAACTGCGGTGTTAAGGCTATAGCCTGGGGGAATGGCTGTGTTAAGGCCATGGGCAGGGAATGGCTGCATTAAGGTGACAGGTGGATAAACCATAATGTTAAGGACACATGTGTGGGGGGGGTGGCATTAAGCACACAGGTTGGAGAATGACGACGTTAAGGCCACAGTCAGAGGGAACAGCTGTGTTAAGGCCACAGGCAGGGGAATGGCGATGTTAAGGACACAAGCAGGGGGAATGGCTATGTTAAGGCCACAGGCTTGGGGAATGGCTGTGTTAAGGCGACAGGTGGGGTGAACTATAATGTTAAGGACACAGGTGGAGGGAATGGTGGTGTTAAGGCCACAATCATGGGGATCAATGACGTTAAAGCCACAGTCAGGGTCTGTGTTAAGGCCATAGCTCTGCTGAACGTGGTTTAGTTCAGGGATATGGTCTTTAAGATTGGATTTAAATTTTAATGATGGGATTTAACCAACAGGTAAAAGCAAATAACGGTAAAAATAACAGATATCTAACCAAGGCACAGTGTAATTTGTCTGGGTAACAGCCCTGTAAATCCCCTCCTGTCCTCCTAGGCACCAATGACACTGCTTATGAAGACATTCATTATCAATGTAGCTCGGGGCACCTCTGCTCTCTGACTAAATGCATCTGGTCCAGGTGTTTCTCCTAATTTTAGCACCCCTCTAAAACAATATTGAACCTTTCAAAATACACAGCCATTATTTAAGGTTTTAGCAGGAAGCCGAGGTTAAGTCAGCTTCCTCGGCACATTGTGATGCTATGATACAATCCCATCATCAAACATACACACACGTGTTCAGATGTCGACATAAATCTTTCCACTATTCGCTGGGATGTGATTCCAGACCCTCTGCATGATGGCAGTATAATTGCTCACATGTGTTTCCTACACTGCTTCCTTCCCCCCCTCCCATAATGGCTACCAAATGGGGCCGTCTGCCCCACACTTGCTGCCGATGAGCGGCGCTTTGAAGGACGGCCAGCCGAAGCCTCCCGTTGTTTTCGAGAGAAAATGGAATTTAATGCTTTGAAAGGGTCCTGCTCACATTTTACTGGGCACGGTGATAATTACGGTACCCCCCCACATCCGAGGCCCCCCTGCTTTGAAATGTTTGTGAACACAACCTCGTCACTGCTGATGGTACCATTTATATGTTATATTTGAAATGCCGTTTGCTAAATGACCGCCTTACAAGCTCACCCCTGATGTGGAATTGACGAGTTTCCCGAAGAATAATATTGTGATATCGATCATCAGCGTGATTTCTTTCGGAATTTCATATCTCATAAAGAGTGTAATTGATTTTATTCCCTGTCACTAGCTGACATACTGGCATGTATGTATAAATCAGACAAATCGTGTTGGAGTGCATGTGCACAGAGGTGAACCTACCTGCCAGTCGTTTGACGAATGACTTT